AAACATTCATCATGAAACCCAGATCTGTCAATATTCTGGAGACATTTAATAATCGTAATGTGTTGCCTGTGTGTGGTTCACTTCTGACAGAAAATATTACAAACTGTCTCAGTGAAATATTGAACTACATGTATTCCATTAATATTCTTCCATATGAATGTATTTCAGTATAGTTTAATTTTGAGCTGAAATTAGCTCGTAGATCTTGCACAAAGAGTGGGCAGAAGTTCTTGTTTGGTATTTGTCAGTATTATAGACCAATAATTATTTTATATTTGTATAATTATTTTTTATTTGTTTGAGTATTTTTTCAGTTTGGAAATTTTTATTGTATTATGTGGAATATGATACAATATATATAATTGTGTACATGGTTTTCTACCTTAATGGTAATGAAAACATGCATTGCTATGATTCAATAGTTATAGTCAGATGAATCAATGTTAAGTAGGAATTTAAAAAAATGCACTTAAAGTGATTTTATTCATTTTATCAACCATTTTATTTACTTTTAACTTTTGTCCAATATCATCACCTTTTCTCTTTGCGTTTCTCATCCAATAGCAATATTTTACTTACATTTGATAGATATATTATTGAATTCATGAATTTATTTGTGTAAATAATTATTAGATTATTGATATTAAAGGTAAATAAATTATGAATGTGTTTACTTTATTTCGAGGTCTTCGAATGGACGACTATGTATTTAAGGGGCCGATTTTGCCATAAAATAGCCCCATGTTATGGTAATTTTGAATTTTTTGAAAATTTTGAACCTTTTTTAAAACAATCACAAGTTTTATAAATATCGAAGCGCGTAAGCGCCGCGTCGTAGTCTAACGTGTAAACATTGGTACGGAACTCATAAAAATGTACACAAAATTTGTAATCTCTATAAAATATCTGATCATATGATGTCTAATGATCATTTCTGACCGCCAAACGGGATCATTTTTCACTTTTTTATATTGGATTTTTAGACACGCTAGAACTGCCTTTCCTAAAATTTTCCCAGTTGTTTATTTCGTCAATACAAGTAAAATGTTTTTTGAATAATTTAAATCGGACGCTCCATTCTCTCAAAAACTGAAATACCATTTTTGGCACCTGTTTCCCTTTACCTTCGAAACGGCTATCCTTTGCCAAAAACTATTCAGCACGCCTTCTTATCAATACGAATTGAATGTTTTTTGAGTAATTCATATCGGTTGCTTTGTGTTCTCGAAATCGTGAATGAAAAATTGTATCCGCACATAGATATACACACACATCCATTTTTTCTAAGGTATGTCAAATTTTTCAGAAACCTTTGAAACGTAAAGATGTATACAAAATTTTATTTTCGATTTTTTGCGATTACTATAAGTTTCCCTACGAGAAGTTAAAAACAACATAATTATTTGAATAAAAAAACGTTACTATTTGAAAAGACAATATATATATTGTCTTCAAATAGTTATCTTTTTTGCCTACATTTTTGTTACTCTGAAAATGCGGAACAAAATAATATATTTGAACTCTATTTCTTGAAACGTTCTATCAAATTAAGCTAATTCATTTCTAAAATTAGGCAAGTGCATTAGGGTTGCTTTTAATATGTAATAAGGTACGCTTCCTAAATGTAGACGCTTTGAGCCCGTCTCTACATTTTCCCATATACTGACGAGAGAAGGCTGATGAGCATCAACGTGCTACTCTTCAGTGCTTCTCGGTCCTTTAACGATGTGAGAGCGTACATCACTGATTGAATTATGACGCCGACATCTCAAATATTAAATATGGCACAGTGTGTCATGTTGCCCCTGAATGCTCTGACTCTGATATAATTAAATCGTACGCTTCAGTATACATTGCTAGGATACTTGGAGCAAATTGCTCAACTTTCTGTACCAGTTTTACAATCTGAGACAAATGTAAAGTTTCATCAGCATTGCAGATTTAGGCTTTAAACAAAAACCTGTTGTTATGGCCTATTTGCTCACTATAAGATAGACATTGAACTAATTGGCATTCACTTCACAAACTAACAGAAAAGTAAGACAGAAGGTAGAGCCTTGTAAGCTATCTGAGAAACTGCGAAAAATTATTTCACACCTTAAAAACATATTTTGTTTAAGAAAATAAATATTTAAACTTAAAGATCTAACCCTAACGTATTCCAATCTGACCTGCTGGGGTTTTATAAAGGTATAAAATTAAACAGAATACGTTATCTCTTGATTTATTAACTGGTAATTTAATACAATTATCGATTATGAATTCAGTGTGATGTTTACTTAAATGATCATTGCATTTCTTCATGTGATGTTTTATTTTCGACTTCCAAATCTCTGAGTGACTCGAGTGAAAGGCGTAGAGTATTCGGTAACTCGCTACGTAAATTTTTTATATTTGATATGTGCCCAAACAATTCCATAATTCTTTCACTCAAACCAACTGGTGTTCTAGCCATCAACTGCAAACATGGACCGACTACGTTTTCGAAGCTACTTACTCCCACGAAGTGCAGACACAGTGGTATCAGTGCAATAGCCGTCGATGGTCTTCTGTCATGCGTAAATAATGCCATTTCTCCAAAATATTGTCGCTCTTCGACGCGATTTACCATGATCTGCAAATCCTGACTCCCCCGCAAGTTTAGCGATACTGAACCATATTCAACTACAAAGATTCCACTTGCGCATTCACCTTGTTGATAAACGGATTCGCCTTCTTTAATATACACAGTTCTCATCTGTTCCGCAATACTTAGGCGTTCGCTTTCTGTTAAATTCTCAAAAAATGGAATATAATTTAAAAATTTTGCATTTTTCCTCCGCTGCGATAATCCAGTTCTTAGCAATATACGTCGAAATCTTACCCTGGAAATGGTCCATAAGGTACTATCAAGCAAAGCTATTACTGATACTTTGTTCACAATCGGGTGAAGTAAACTGTTTTCTCCAAAGTATTCACCTCTGCCACCAGTTCTTATCAATTTTGGTTCAGGAACAGGCGGTTTTATTTTTAATACTTCAAAAGCTCCATTTTCAAAAACCATAAATGAATCTATAGTTTTACCTTGCTCGAGAACGCATTCGCCTTTGCGAACAAATTTTGGTCTCATGGCATTTATAACATTCCGCATTCGCTCGTAATCCAATGTCTGAAATAAACAGCTTTGTCTAAGAGTTGAGGCAAGGAACTTTTTAGTCTCCATTCTTTTTTCCACTGGACGATTAGGTAGTTCTTGTTTCAATTTTTCTAAATCATGACACTCCGACCTCACATGCTCGTGATGCCCTTCTATAAATTCTTCTGTATCAAATTCTGCTAATGGTGTGACAGCCTGTTTCAAACTCAACTTATCTATATATTCTTTTTCGGCTTTATCATCTTGTCTTTTTTGTCTTAGTTTTTTGAAATAATCAATGGCATATATTATTATATCATCTGGTTTATCCGTTTTACATGACTCGGTGAACCTTGCAAGCACTTCTATAATGTTTTTATCCAACTCTTTTCTGCACTTTGCAGGCAGGGGGAAAAAATCATCCATATTTTATAAATTTAAATAGTTAGGAATTGTGAATAATTGAATTTTTAATTTTATATAAAGGATAAGTATATAAGATAATCGATTATAAAATGCGTTTACTTATCTCAGTATACGATCGAATGAAGTTGCTTTTAATCAATTTTTAACGACAAATCAAATTTTCTATTTTTTTATACTTTTTTTTACAAAATATTTACTTTTGATTTTTTAATCTGCATTTTATAAAGAAAGAGTCTTATCAAAATTATTTAAAAAATAAAATGACAGATTGAAAAAAATAAACAAAAGAATGATAAAAGCCTGGACAATATTAGAATATAATGTATTCATATAGACGTTTTCCTCTCCCGATTTTTACGTTCAGAAGGGATACTTAAAGGGTCTTCCGCTCAGATGTGAAAGCACTACTTCTGGCATTCAAATTTAATTGGAAATGAAAATTAACGAATTTTAAAAATTTGGTATTTGAAACTAAATTTGGTATTGCAATCGTATTACCTTCTGGAATAATACAATAATAACAAACATATAATAGATAATATTATATTGTAATAAATATACAATCAAATGCCAGTTTGAATATACATAATACCTAATCTACTGGAATAACTTCACACTTTTTTAACTTATTAATATGAACATTTCGTGGAATTTAGTGAATTATAGTGTTGATTCATTACATCGTCTGTCATTCTTAACTCTCATTAACTGATAATCATCCCGTGCAAAATTTGACATTCTTAAGCAATTAATTTCTTTCTAACAGTAAGAATATTCAGATCCATTTGAAGTGGTAATCCAATTTAAACTGCTGGAAGATTTCTAAATATTATGTCTTTCTTGTCGAAGCTTTTGCTTGATTTCTTACATAATTTCTTTGAACTGGCCTCTTTTCTTAAAGTTTCATATGATATGATTAGATTATACTGTCAATGCACTACCTAGTATTTATGAGTGAGCAAGAAGTAAAAACTGAATTACAGGAATGAATATTAACATATCAGATATACTTGAAAAATCGTAAAAATAATTGAAATAGAACTATAATCATTTTCGTCTTTTCGAACTTTTCGAATAAGTAATTTGAATAATTATAACTGTATCTGAGTTTTAAGCTGTTCTATTCATTTTGTCAAAGGGCTGTGCATTTGAGAATAATTCTTAATGAAATCTTTATTAGCAAATTAACAACTAACACAAAAATAACACTGACGTTTGTTACTAACCAATATAAAACATTTGATAATACTCGATATCGGCTCATTAGCGCCAAATTTGCGACTACATTTGGACTCCTAAGTAGCCTTTCTGAACGCGGATTTTGTTTTGAGATAATAATAAAAGTATCAAGCTGCTTTGTGGTCACTTGCACCTTTCAATGTTTCAATTGTTTTTATATCATTTTATAGCATTTTACAAATACTTCGTCCATTGTGTAGTGTAATTTGGCAATAGTAAAATGTCTCAACCGGAAAAAACTGATACACCGACCTCTAAATCAAAAACACTTGTTGCACCTCCAGAATCTTTGTATGATATGATGCTGGAACTATCTCTTAACTATACCATTGAGAGACCGACGAGATTTAATGTCTTCGCTGCCAACTACTTTAAAGGTGTGAGGGATTTAATTGCTGCATTGCGAATAAATGAGGAAATGGATACTTCCACAATAGATGAAATAGTTAGTACAATACCGAGTTCAGTATCGAGTGAATCGCAATACGTTCATCGCAAGAGCATCATGGCAGATCATTTTGATGAATGGAACCCACCATTACTCAGGCAACCACTTTTTATACCAAAAATAACTAGAGTCCGATCTTTTCTAACGAAAACCGTGAAGGAATGCTTTTTATTTAACGCATTAGACCGCCCTCTTTTGTATGACATCATAAGTTCCATGGAGGAAGAGATCATTAAGGGAGGCTATCTGTTAGTAAGGCAAGGTGAACTTACGGATAAAATGTATGTTTTAGAGAAAGGAGAAATGCAGGTCCTAATGAAAATTCCAGATGAGGGTACACAAGTGATTGACAGATTATTCAATGGTGCTATGTTCGGCGAATTGGCTTTATTGCATGTTAATTTTAGCAGTATTACTGTGCAGGCAATCACGCACACTAGACTCTGGAGTATAGATCGGGTTACTTACAGGACACTACTTCTTAATCATTCAGTAAAATTGAGGGATAAGAAGCGACAACTACTAGCTGGAATATCGTTTTTTAAAAATTTTACATGGGCAGAGATTTGCAAATTGGCGGACGCTTTAACACCTCATACGTTTGCTAAAGGCACATGGTTGTTCAAAGAAAAAAGTTTGTCGGATGGTATGTATATTGTCGATAGGGGCATGGTCTTAATGTATGTGATCGGAGAGTACGGAAATCAGGTAATAGTTGGCCGATCCATTAATGGTCAAACATGTGGAGAAGCTGCTCTTATATCTTATTCGCAAAGGAGATACTCAGCAGTGGCAACTCATAAAGCCCGTACCTATTTCATTGATGTCGAAGATTTTGAGAGGCTGGTGGGTTCTTGTTTAAAAATTTTGAAGCGAACGAAATATGATTATGACCAAACGGTTGTAAGAATCTGTGGAACCAGGAATTTGGTAACTGATCTGAGAATACAGCCTAAGACTAAAAGTAAGAGTGAGCAAGAAGTAAGAACTGAATTACATGAATGAATATTAATATATCAGATATATAATATTTAAAAAATCGTAAAAATAATTGAAATAGAACATTATAATCATTTTCGTCTTTTAGAATTTTTCGAATAAGTAATTTGAATAATTTAAAATGTAGCGAGTATTACATTATCTAAATTTTAATAAATTGAATTTAAACTCTAATATAGTTTCATTTTATTCTCTACTATAAATCAATCTTTAATAAAAATTATCAATTATTATTACTTTAAGATTTACTTAACCATAAAATGAAATATTAGTGTAGCATATTTTTTAATCATAAAACTCAATATATCTTCTTATAGAATAATATTAGAAACAAGAATACATATTACCAAGTTTCATATAAATTTTGGCACATATTCCTTGAAAGGGACCTCTAAACACAATCCTTGCGATTATTAGATTTTAAATTGATTGTTGAAAACTACTGTCAATAATGATAAAAATTAAGATTATTGGTTGGAATGGTTTAGAACCAATGATTATATAAAATACAATGTTTTTATTCAAATGTGCAATAATGAATTTAGTTTTCACAAGCATACTATGTATATACATACTAACACTCTTCGATACATAGTGATCGTTCAACATTTTGTATATTAAATAAAGACTAACATCTTAATGCCTTTCTGTAGTTGCGCACATCTATTTCATTTATAGACATACTCAATTTGCACCTTAATAATACTACAAAATACTTATCTATGTTAGGGTTTATCGATTATTCTGAATAGGCAACTCTCGAATGTTATGAATGTTCCAAACAAATTAAAACATTTATATGTTTTTGCTCAAACTATAAATGAATTACTTTACTTATTTAACAATTAATTTACCAAAATATCATTAAGGTATATATGATAAACTGTTGGTGTATGTTGATGATGATTGATTATACCAGACCTCTACAAGAAAAATTAGTTTTTATACTCGAGTACTCGCTCTACATTAAATAACAGACCGTGGTCTTACCTACATTCATTCTCAATGTAGAAGTATAATATCATTGAGGTATATATAAGAAATTCTTTATATGAATGATAATGATAATTGTTTGTGATAAACCACTGCAAGACAAATTAATTTATATATGATACAGTACTCGAGTACCTGCTATACATTAAATAACAGACCTTGGCTTTACCTATATTAATTCTCAATGTAGAAGTATAATATCATTGAGTTGTATATGAGGAATTTTATGTAAATGTTATGATGATTGGTTAAAAAATAGTTCATAGTACTCGAGTTCTTGCTCTACATATATAGCAGACTGTGAACCTTACCTGTATTAATTTTAAATACAGAAGTTAGTTATCATTGAGGTATATATAAGAAATTCCTTCTATGAATGATACTGATGATTGGTTGTGATAGACCACTGCAAGACAATTTAATTTATATGTGATACAGTACTCGAGTACCTGCTCTACATTAAATAACAGACTTTGGCTTTACCTATATTAATTCTCAATGTAGAAGTGTAATATCATTGAGGTGTATATGAGGAATTTTATGTAAATGTTATGATGATTGGTTAAAAAATTGTTTATAGTACTCGAGTACTTGCTCTACATATATACCAGACTGTGAACCTTACCTGTATTAATTCTAAATACAGAAGTTAGTTATCATTGAGATGTATATGAGAAATTCCATGTGAATGATAATGATGATTGGTTACGGTAGACCACCATAAGAAAAATTTTTGTGGTATAGTACTCGAGTACTTATATCAAATAGATATCAAATAACAGACTGAGGCCTTACCTTCTCATTCTCAAGAAATATAATATCATTGTAGCAGTAGAAATATAATATTATTGAGGTATACAAGAAAAATTGCATGTGAATGATAATGATAATGATAATGATAATATAGTTCTGATAGACAACTACAAGAAAAGTTAATTTATATGTGATATAGTACACAAGTACTTACCTATAATAATACTAGTTACAGAAGTTAAATATCATTGAGATCTATGAAACAATTCTTTGTAAATGTTAATGGTGATTGCTTATGATAGACCACCATAAGAAAAATTTATATGGTATAGTACTCGAGTACTTATTGTTATACATCAAATAACAGACTGTGGTCTTACTTATATTAATTCTCAAGAAGTATAATATTATAGTAGCAGTAAAAGTATAATATCATTGAGGTGTACATGAAAAATTGCATGTGAATGATAATGATAATATAGTTGTGATAGACAACTACAAGAAAAGTTAATTTATATGTGATATAGTACACAAGTACTTACCTATAATAATACTAGTTACAGAAGTTAAATATCATTGAGATGTATATGAAATAATTCTTTGTAAATGTTAATGGTGATTGCTTATGATAGATCACCATAAGAAAAATTTATATGGTATGGTACTCGAGTACTTGTTACACATCAAATAACAGACTGTGGTCTTACTTATATTAATTCTCAAGAAGTGTAATATTATTATAGCAGTAAAGATATAATATTATTGAGGTATACATGAAAAATTGCATGTGAATAATAATAATGATTGGTTGTGATATGATACTATAAGAATTAATTTATATGTGATATAGTACTCGAGTACTTGATATACATGATATAACAAACTGTGAACCTTACCTATGATAATACTAAATACAGAAGTTAAATATCATTGATGTATATGAAAAATTTCTTGAGAATGTTTGGTGTTTAGTAATGATAGACCACTATAAGAAAAATTTAGGTGATATAGTACTCGAGCACTTGTTATACCTGAAATAACAGACATTGAACTTTACCTATATTAATTCTAAATGCAGAAGTTAAGTATTATTGAGGCGTATATGAGAAATTTCTTGTAAATGTTAATGGTGATTGGTTATGATACATGATACAGTACTCGAGCACTTGTTATACATGGAATAACAGACTGTGGTCTTACTTATATTAATTCTCAAGAAGTATAATATTATAGTAGCAGTAGAAATATAATATTATTGAGGTATACATGAAAAATTGCATGTGAATAATAATAATGATTGGTTGTGATAGGATACTATAAGAAGAATTAATTTATATGTGATATAGTACTCGAGTACTTGATATACATAACAGACTGTGAACCTTACCTATGATAATACTAAATACAGAAGTTAAATATCATTCAGATGTATATGAAAAATTCCTTGAATGTTTGGTGTTTAGTAATGATAGACCATTCTAAGAAAAATTAAGGTGATATAGTACTCGAGCACTTGTTATACATGAAATAACAGACTGTGGTCTTACTTATATTAATTCTCAAGAAGTATAATGTTATTGTAGCAGTAGAAATATAATCTTATTGAGATATACATGAAAAATTTTATGTGAATAATAATAATGATTTGTTGTGATAGGATACTATAAGAAGAATTAATTTATATGTGATATAGTACTCGAGTACTTGATATACATGATATAACAAACTGTGTACCTTACCTATGATAATACAAAATACAGAAGTTAAATATCATTGAGATGTATATGAAAAATTTCTTGTCAATGTTGATGATGATCGGTTGTGATAGACCACTATAAGGAAAATATGGTATAGTACTCGAGCACTTGTTGTACCTGAAATAACAGATCGTGAACTTTACCTATATTAATTCTAAATGCAGAAGTTAAGTATTATTGGGGTGTATATAAGAAATTTCATGTTAATAATAATGATAATTAGTTGTGTTCGACTACTACAAGAAAATTTAATTTATATACTCGAGTACTTGCTATGCATGAAATAACAGACTGTAAACCTTACCTATATTAATTCTAAATATAGAAACATGTTTATGTGAGTACAATTAGATGTATTTATGATATATTTACATATATTATAAAAACATAACAATTCATTTTTATGTTGATGAACATGCAATCGAACAACATTACACAATGTTTAAGCTCATGGGCTAATAAAAAAAAATGATCAAAAAGTTATGGATTATTATGTATAAAAGAAATAATTGTTCACGTGCAATGGCAGTTGTATTCCAAAGCATCCACTTTATCCATAGGCACAATCATTTCATAGTGTCTTTCATCATTTCTTACTTCGTCGAAGTTAATTTTTAAATACGTCATTCTCCACCAACAAGGTACGCCTTTCTTGTAATGAATTATTACCTTCTTGTCGTTAATACAATTAACTTCCCGCAATTCATAGAGTCCTGTTAAGATGTAATAGATTTTAATGAAACTGTTGATGATAAGTACAGTTTCATTGCCAGCCAATTGAAAAGCAATTCTATGAACATGAAGTCCTGGTGGTATAGGCAAGTGTAATTCGGCCATTTCGAATGTCTGGATTGCCTTGCAGATAGAAGAATATGAGACGATTTCTGGTTTCGTATTTTCATGTAGTTTCTTAATTGACTCTTTTACGGAGGATGTTGGCACACTGTGCAATAACACTGTATCTTCGGTAAGGACTATTTCATCTTCTGTTGACGGGAATATTGGCCACTGCAGATCTGGTTCACCTGGACGATCTGGCTCATCTGGACGATCTGGCGTATCTGGTAGTTCAGCCACTTCTTGTGATTCTGGCTGATCTGTAACTTTTTCTGAATTGACGAATGCGCGTAATGCAGAAAGGAACGCCGGTTCACAATTATTTGCGATATATAACATGCCTAAATCGACTAAGCATTGAACACTCATTGCAGCTGTTTTACTGTATTTATATAAATTTTACAAATTAATAAGCTTTACAAATGTGGATTAACAAGATTTAAAAATCTGGACCGTATGTATGTAACTATACAACTTAAGGCGGCAACAGTTCACAGTCAACAGGATGTAATTTCTTATTCGGCTACCATTGGCTATGTTCGTTTTGCTACGCAAACCATAGGTCCTCAACATGCGGCATAAATGACAGTAATATTTTATGATTTTATCAACTAATATCTATTTAATAATGTACTTAATGATTTATATCTACTGTTTTATGTATAA